AGGACTGTCCCTCTCCCCCACACATCCCTGCATTGCTCCTCTGAGTGCTTCTGCCCTCCTCTCGACTCCCCAATCATAGCAGCTTCTCCCCCTCCTGCTTCTCCATCTCCCTTCCACTACTCTAGTCATACCCTTCCTCTCGCACCTCCTGAACCTGACTCTTCCCTAACCTCTTCCCCTACGTCTGACACTCCCCCTTCCCAAGCCCTTTCCCCTTCCTCTTCTCCCTCAACCCTGCCCCCTTATTGTCTCCCTTCATACCGTTCCACCACCTCACCCCCTAACTTTCTTCTCCCATGGAACCTGCGCCATTACCACCCCCTTCCTCCTCAATGTCCTCTTCTTCCCCCAACTCTGTCCTTGCAATCTCAATTACCACACCTTGTCCTCTTCTTGTCCCCTACCCTACATTGTTACAACCTCATTCCTCCCCATGTCCTCCTCTTCTTCCCCCCCACCTTTCCCATCGCAATCTAAACTCCCCAACCTCCTCCTTCCTGTCTACAAATTTTCCCTGCCGTTAGAATCAAGTCTTCGGCAGCCCGTCCCTTTCTCCTCTTCCGAGATGTCATGTTGTCTTCCCATCCTTTTCCTATCCTCTCCCCCCATCCTTGACATTGTGTGATGCTCATCTCCTCCTTCTCTGTCTACTCCCCCACATTGCACAACGCTCCTTCCACTCCCCCCTTCCCCGACATTGCACCATGCTGTATCCCCTCTTCCACATTCCCCAACATTGTGCCACGCTCCTCCATTCCCTCTTCCCCCATCGATTACATGCAGCCATACTCCTTCCCTTCTTCCACTCTGATATTCCACTATCACCCCCCCCCCCCCTCTTTCCTTCCTGTGAAGTTGTGCCATGCTCTCACTCCTCTGCCTCCAACTCTATCCATAACTCTTTGGTCCCCTCACTGTCCTAGTGCATCTTCTGCTCCCCTTCTCTCCCCGCCTTTTCCCCACTTCTCATGTGCCCCTCTTCATTCCCCTTCTCCCCCCAGTCTATTTGAATGCATCTCCTCCCCCGCCTTTCCACTGATCCCAACTTCTCCACAATGGCTGTACTTGTCCCCCTTTGCCCCAATTTCAAATCCCCAACAACAGTCACACCCATCTTCCTTTTCCCTGATGACGACTTCCCCACCTCCTCTCCCTCCCCTCTGGATTCCAATCCAGAGTCCTCCACATCCTCCTCTCCCTCCCTATTACCTTTTCCTCCTCTTTCACCCGGTTCATCCAGAGCCCGATCCCATTTTCACGTCCCCTCTTTCCCTCTCTGCTTCTTCCTTATGCTGCCCTCCCTCTTCCCCCTAATCACTGAGCCTCCTCCTTCTCCCCCCTCATGGCTGTACCCCATGTACAGCAGTTTCAAGGTATAGACCAGTGACAGTGAAGGAAGAGAGAGAAGGAGAGAGAGAGAGAGAGCGCAGGTAAGCAACATCCGGGGGATCTCTCAACAGCAGTGAGCAGATGCAAGGTCCACAGAGAGACAGAGAGAGCCATGTTGGGATGTCGTGTTGAAATGTGTGGTGGCACATCGTGTTCCATCAAAATATATGGTGACATGTCATGTAAAGAGAGGGAGAAAGGGGGGGACGGAGAGCCATGGTACCGAATCGCATCGAGGTGCACGGTCATACATCACAGCACTTCGAAATCAGTCCCGGTACACACCTCATCCATTTTAGGCCATTGGGGTATCCAGCTGACGGACTGGAGCCCACAGTACGGCCGTATGGAAAATCTCTGTTGTGCACCAGTTGAAAGGCACTCTAAAATGTCTGATCGGCTAAAGATACCAGCTGTCGACCAGCACATAGTCTAGATCCTTCAAGAATTATGTTTTGGAGTATCTATGGTGGTGGGCATGTGATAGGAAAAGGAGGGGAGAACAGCAGAGGTCTTCAGGACGTTCAATTTCCACTCCACCATTGAAAGAAGAAAAGGTGAGAACTAAAGCTCCATACGATCCTGACTTCAAAAATTCTGGAAGCCACACAATTATGTCTGCGAGCTAAAGCATTCAGGTAAATTTTCCGTAACAATAAAGACTGGCAACATGTGGCAAGAGTTTAAACCACTCCACTGGGAACAAAAGACACACCTGGCAGTAGCCAACAGAGGGATTATGACGAGCATAGGCCGTAAGCAAACGCCTCAGTGCATTCCTTCCATTCTGATCCAGAGCTGGATGGCCAGGAAATGTCCTTGGCAGATCCTGCATGACACATGAGCAATAAAAAGCAACATCAGCATCAACATACACACGAGTTCCACGTCAAAACCAAACTGGTAAACTACAGCATAAGGACAGACTACTAGGCACAAAGGTTTCATTGGAGGGCCCATAGGCAACACCATAATGATCTCTCTCTCTCTCTCTCTCTCTCTCTCTCTCTCTCTCTCTCTCTCNTCTCTCTCTCTCTCTCTCTCTCTCTCTCTCTCTCTCTCTCTCTCTCTCTCTCTCTCTCTCTCTCTCTCTCTCGCTTTTTCTTTTCTTTTTTTTGTGTGTGTGTGTGTGATTGTGTGCCGTCATGTTTGCTATTCACAACTCCACAAAAAAGTGTGTTTTTGACTGTCACCACTACAACCCTTGTCAACCCAGATCGGTAGTTCCAAAATCACAACAGTTTCACCTCACACATCTAGCAACTAAAAGAGTGCAGTTTGGGAAACAACTAAAGAAGTAGCAGACAACATGAAGCACACTGAAAACGTTGTTTGACTTTTTCTGTACAGTAGTTTCTTCTCTTTCCTTGCTTCAGCTTTTTTCGTGGTTTATCATTTAGTTCTTTTAGCTCCTAAATAGCTCCCCCTTAACTGTGCTTCTCACATACAAGGCTCGCCACATCGATGCAGTCGAGCGTGAGCTGCCCACATCCCCATGTGCCATAACGGCCCACTTGCATGCTATGAGGAGGCAGAGTAATGGGGGAGGGTGGAATGTGCACACTCCTGTTTACTTCTCAGCATGCCTTCACCTTATTTTTTTTTTTTTCTCTTAACATGTGAGAGAGTGTGTGTGTGTGTGGGGGGGGGGGGGGGGGGGGGGGGGGGGGGGGGGCGGATGCTGGGGCTACCCACACCGTGCCATCAGGCCTGACATTTTTCCAGGCAGTCCCTTGGCCGCCTAGGCGTCTCCAAGGCCTTTTAGCAACGCTCGTTTTATCCTGGTCTAGGTCTCATTTTCAGAAATGTGTCCGAACATGCACAGGTTGGTCCTGTTCAGACCCCTCTGGCAGATACCTTTTCAAGTTTTGCTCCAGCTTGTCTGTTTATGGCTGGGCTTGTGTCCATATTCTTATGCCAGGCTCGGTTTTCTTTCCAGGCCTAATGCCAAGACAGCAGGGGAGGGCCTGGACTCGGGTAGGGACCCAGGGCACACGTTTTCAGTCTTGGGCCGGTGTTTGGTCACACGGCCTCCCAGCTGGGCTGCCAAATCCTTGGCCAGTCATATGGCCCCGATGAGAGGCCGGGTTGGATGTTGGCAGGCCCAGTAATATACAGGAGAGGCCACCCCAGTAGGAGGCAGGTAAACCTTCACTCGTGAATTTCGTGTGCTAATTCATTCTTGAGCTTCCACAAAGTTCATGCCGTCGACGAAAGTGCAATAGCAGAAAGAAGATTTTTTGTGAACAGGAGAGGCCAGCCCAGTAGTAGGCAGGTAAACCTTAATTCACTCGTGAATTTCGTGTGCTAATTCATTCTTGAGCTTCCACAAAGTTCACATCTGTGCCATCGACGAAAGTGCAATAGCAGAAAGAAGATTTTGCGAAGTTTCTCAAGGTCATATGGCTCACTTGAAAGCAAACACAAAGCCAGTTGTCATGATGAAGTTTCAATATTCGATGGCACGCCTCAAAAGCAGAAGTGAAGTCTCTTGCCCCAATGATGTTTCCTTCCCTTGCTCGAGACAGGCAAGACATAGACCCCGGTGACTTGACATCGAAACATAAACCACAAAGCCACACATGCACTGTGAAACAAATACACAAGAAAACAACGGATACACCACATGGGGAACCAAACTGTCCAACACAAAGTATTGAGCTCTGGCAAACCCTGGCCAGCATGTGCTGTGCGGAACAGCAATCACACGCACTGCAATACCAACCTTTTCAATTTGGCTGGTCCACTTCTCAAGAATACCATTCTCTGTCTTCTGATAGTTGGCAGCAGACCTGCTCTCCGTATTCAAACCTCCTGTTCCATCACCATCGCCGCCTCCATCTGCAAGCAAGACTAATAGCGCATTGTAATGTCCAGGTATCTTCCGCCATTTTGCACCTGAAAATAGCTGCCATAACTGATCCCCAGGGAACAAAGTTCAAAAAACAGATAAAAGATTGTCAAGCGAGCACCGTGACTCTGAAGTTCTGGAGGCAAGCTGTCATGCACCATCGAACATACAGCTCGGATCCCAAGTTCTGTTGACTAGTGTTGGTAAGCAACGATGAACTTTAGGGGTAACTATTATTGACCCCCAACAGGTGGAAAGCATCAGGCTATTGGAAACAATGGGGTGGCTTCAGATAGGGAGAAGAGGACAAAAGACAAGGGCCTGTGACAAACTGTTTATGCATGACGGTATATAGATATATATTTGATGAGTCGGTGAAACTCCGACGAAACAGTTTGTCACAGCCTCTCATTTGTTGTCCTCTTCTCCCTCTCTGCCTACGGCTTACCAGGCAGCTCTGTTTGACGACATATATAGTATATATCGTCAAATAGAACTGCCCGGTAAACCGTAGGCAGAGAGGGAGAAGAGGACAACAAACGAGGGGCTGTGACAAACTGTTTCGTCGGAGTTTCAGTATATATATCGTCGAACAGAGAATATATATTGTCACACTGTGAATCAGAGCGTGAAGGCGAAAAAAAGCAAAACAAGGAAAGGAAAAGAAGCAAGGAAGGAAAGCCCCACCTGTTCATCACCTCTTACGTACAAGGTCAGCCACGAGGATGACAGGTTGAGCGCTGGCTGCCCCCATCCCCGTGTGTCACAAGGACCCACTTGCACGCAGCCAAAAGGCAAAGAGGTGAAGAAAAGGAGGAGGAAACCAGACCTTACAGAGGCAAGAGAAAGAGAAAGGTCAAAGAAAAGACACAGAAAGAAAGCAAATGACACATCCCACAGATAAACCAATTGCCACTGTCACTACAAAGTTCAACATATTTCTTTTTTCTTTTTTCTTTTTTCTTTTTTCTTTTCTCCAGAAATTGTACTTTTTGTCTTTCTTTCTTTTATCTGTTCTACAATTAGTGTTGCTCCTGATCGCTTAATTCTATTGACCAGTCAGGAAGAGGAGCCCCCACCCCGGCAGATGGGCCAGGCACGCTGAGGATGACGTGGATGTCCACAACGATACCCAAGGAGAGCTACTTCAGCACAGCATTCAGCAGGGCAGCTAACACGGACCATCCCATCAAAACAGTCCTGACAAAGGGCATGCTGTCCACATGTCAAGAAAACAGCAGGACGTTCATCACAGTGCGGCATCATGCAGTCCTGGTAGTGTCCTTGAGAACAAAAGGGACAGCGAATATCTGGGTGATAGGGATGTGTACAATGAGGAAATGTTGGACACCCTTCAGCACAGACGGCGGCGGCTGCAATAGATTGATAATGTTGATGGCATAGCTGATGAATTCCGCAGCCAAGACGCACCGCGTCCCTGTCCCGACAGGTGTCACACGAGACTCGATCAATAATCCAGAATAAAGTATGATTCCGTAATGCACACAGAAATTCGTTTATGTCAAAAATAGCCTGAATCATTGTCCCACCATCCCACAGTTCCCACTGGGCAGCTGCACGAATGAGTGCCATATAATGCCCAGGTCTGTGCAAATTACAGGCAGAAATATGAGGATGGTCATTAAGGTCATCGCCTGGCGTCGCATGATGCATAAGAAGGTGGCGACCGTGGAAAGCTAGCTGTAAAAAATTTACAGTAAAGCCTCCTGAGGTAGTATAATTACTACCTTCAGGCGGTGGACCAGTATGGTCATACAACAACTGATTTTCAACAGCGTCAAGCTGATAAGCAATTGTAACAAAATGGGAAGCAGTATAACATTGACGCTGATAAGCCCGTAGGCAGACATTTGTGGCTGTCAACCCACAAGCATTTGGTAGATCTACCCGCAGATCCGATTCGGTCACCACTGGAAAGCTAGGCCTGATCTGGCGGGTTCGGCGCATGAATGACGAACGCCGTCAACGTGGCAGAGAAGGCTGTCGGTAAGACAAAGAACCCCGCAGATTAGCATCAACACAACGTCGAGAGGAAGGGGGACTGGGAGGAGGAGAGAATGAACAAACCTGCCAACGTCCCAATATAGACAGCGAAGACAAAGGAGGGGCCGATCTCAGCCGGCGTGGGGGGGCAAATGATGACGAAGAAGAAGAAGAAGAAGAAGAAGAAGAAGAAGAAGAAGAAGAAGAGACAAAGACACGGATGATGCAGCAGCAGCAGCAGCAGCAGCAGCAGCAGCAGCAGCAGCAGCAGCAGCAGAAGAAGAAGAAGAAGAAGAAGAAGAAGAAGAAGAAGAAGAAGAAGAAGAAGAAGAAGAAGAAGAAGAAGAAGAGGACGCTGGCAAAGAGGAAGGAGAAGGAGAGGGAGGGGGAGAGGGAGAGGGAGAGGAAGGCGGAGGGGAAGTGGAAGGTGAAGGAGAAGGAGGAGGGGGAGGGGGAGAAGAAGGGGGGAGTATATATATCAGCTGTCGTAAGGAAGGGCGAAAGAAAAAAATTAAGCCAGTTACCCACAGCTTCCAGAGCACACCAGTGAATATCTGCATAATACAGGTCAATGCTAGGTTATTGCAAAAGAGAGAACCAACACAAGTTGACCAATACCACCTCCTCATTGATGACAAGCCACCTTACGCCGAGATGATTGGTAAGCATGAGGGAGGATGGTTTATGAGGTTGAAAACTAACAAAGAACCGAATAGCAGCTGCAAACCAGGAACCATTTCAAAGACAAACCGAGGCCGCAACAAGGAGTTGGCAAATACGTAGAGATGTCATTCGGAGTTCGCACAGAAGACGAAAGAAAAGAGGCAAATGAGGACAAGGAAAAGGACGAGCAGATACAGCTTGGGAGTCAAAGAACATAGAGAAAGGAAAAGGAACATAAAGACAGCGAACTGAAGAACACAATAACACGAGCAACAGCAGCAGGAAAAGAAAAGGCCAGTCAACATCACTAATAATCACCTCTCCTCTCATTGCCATTGGAACTCCTCCGCGGACAAGCGATCGTAGCTCATCATGCCAGGTGCAAACAACAGGTGCATCTTCCTTGTCATCCGTGTGTCCATTAGTCTCCTCGTCATTATCTCCCACCTTCACTTTCACATCCCTAGTCGGCTTTTCTAATTTATTTTCCTGGCGCTTCTCATCCCAACCGTTAGATAACAATTCCTGCTGCTGCTGCTGCTGCTGCTGCTGCTGCTTTACTCCTCCCTGCAAGTCTTCCCCCATCCCAGTGGGGGAGGTTCCCTCGTCCTCGCTCTCTCCTCCATCATTGAAGGGGCCCAATGGCACATCCTCAAGCTCTTCTCGGTCGCTTCCATCATGAGACCTGCACACAACGGTTGAAGTTACCCAACGCACCTTTGCAATTAAGTTTCTGAGTAAACTTTCCGGGAGAACAAGAACTTGCTAATTCACCTTAATTGTACACTCAGAAGTGGATAAAAAACAAAGCAACTTAAAAATGCCAGTACGCCACCCCAGCCTTGCTGAAAATGCAACTCGCAGCCTACAAAAGTTTCAGCCTGCCGGACCACAATGGCTGGCGGCACCAGTCAAAAAAGAAAGAAAGTGCGCCGATGGCGGTTCGAAAAACCTTGCCGCGCAGTAAAGGCGCCTCCAGGCCCGGGTGTACTGGTGATTTAAAGAGGGAAATTCAAACTGCGACTGAGAAGTTAAGATTTGTGGACTTTTTGTATCAAATGGGAGAACAGGAAACATGTCGCTGAATGGTACACCCGCACAACAGATCATGAATGCAAACCCTGATGGAATGAGATAAAACACTTGCAGTTACACAACACACCTTTGCAGTTAAGCTTCTGAGTACATGGAGGGCGAGAACTACTAATTATTCACTTCATCATGTCAAGCAAGAACGAATCAACCATGCTAGAAGCAGGCAAAAAAAACGCAGAAATCTCAGTTGGAAAATTCTACCACGTTGCAACTCAGAAGTAAGGATTCGTTGGGTTCACTGCATGAAGTGGGAAAACGGGAAACATGTGGCTGAATGATACACACATGTAACAGATCATGAGTTTAAACCCCAATGGAAGGAGATAAATACAACATTGTTAGAGGCTACCCACTAGAAAAGAAGAGAGTGAGAGAAGGGGAAACAAGCGATTAGGAAGAGATGAAGATGGAGAATCAAACAGCAAACAGCTGGGGGGAAACAGTCACTGACGCCCAACATTGAACCTGGTCCCCCTAGCGGTTAGCCTAGCACCGTGTTGCAGCATCGCGGCCGATCCGATTCCCACTTTAAGATTTCCGTCGCTAGCATACTTGCTAGCCTATCAGCATTGTACACGACCCAAAAACAACTATTCCACCCCTCGCTCAAACACAGCTGAACCAAAAGCTGACCTATTCCTCAGTCCATAGATTGTGGCAAATAGATGATATTGTAGCCCAGAAAGAGGCCCCTAAAGTGCCAGATGAGGTGAAAATATTAAAGGAGGAACCCAAGGGAGTCGTGGGTGAAGAGGTCGGGGTACTGCCAGTGGCTATGATCCAAGGCTCCCTTACAGAGGGGTCAGATACCATGACTGCTGACCAGGAAGGAGTGTCTAGGCACACAGCTCAGAAACGGAGAAAGGTGTGACAAGTGTGTGTATAAAAAAGACATGCACATTGCAAAAGGTCAAACGTGCAGGATGCACACAATAGATGAAGCTATACCATTGATCGACATGAATCATATGTGAAACCATAAAGCTTTTGTCAAAGAAAGCATGGGTGGCAGGCGACGTGGAGAAGAAGAAAGATGTGTACTCGAACGGGAACAAACAGTGGAGCAGCGGGCTGATGGTAGAACAAAAAACTACGCCGATAGTATTCAACACAGCGATAATGGAACAAACAATGACCAGTGTCAGACAAACAGCAGAAGATCGGATGAGTCTGTTCAGGTAATGAAACCCGGAGAATTTGCCTAACTCAGGAAACCACAGGCACTCGTCTGGCTGACGGCACAGGAGGGGCCAAGAGTGGATGGCCATGAGTGTGAAAGATGAATTGGATGCAAGATAGTCCTTCAAAGCGAGTGTCAAAATAATAGAGTAAGACGAATTACATGGGTAGACGGAGCATGGACATAGCAGGACGAGCCCCTCACAAGCGTTAACCGGCAATGCCCACAATAAAGGATGAGCAAGGCCACAGTTTTGAAGACAGCCCAACTGCTGCAAAAACGTGTTCAAACTTCAAATCTGATAAACTGTCAAAGTGAACAAGCCTGGTGCTTGATTGGGGGGTTGGGGGGGTGGGGGGGGGTGGGGAATGTTGGAGGTGGAGCTGTAATAATACTTAACAGAGAAACCGTAACCAGCTGCTTTGTCAAAGATAGTCATATAATATAAGCCACCAGCACGAAGTCGAAGTACAGGAAACATTCTGCTTTGTCAAAGATTGGTCATGTAATGCAAGCCATCGGCACGAAGTTGAAGTACAGGAAATATCCAATGCTGCTGTTTCATTTGATTGACGCCCATCGTCCTGCTGTGGTTTTCTTCAATTCAAGGCCATAGTCTTCTCACAGCGGTGACAGTTAACCCCATGAAGGAGCTAATGACATAATCATCATACGACAACCTTGTAACTAGTGAAACTGCTTGGGGACACAATCATTTGACAAAATCACCGCTGTGGTACGCAGCGTTGCTCTAGAATTGCTGTGGACACAATACAATCATTTATGGCTAGCAACATGGCTGCTCGATGCGCTGCTGCCTGGGGTGCCACGTTGATAGTTAAAAAAAAAAAAAAAAAAA